GATAGATAGATAGATAGATAGATAGATATAAATATATATATATATATAAATATAAAAATATATACATATACAGACACACACACACACGCACATACACATATATGCGTACCTCTGCATATATCATATGTTAATTGTGTCATGTATTGCTTACTGCCCACGAATCGATCAGGCTAAAGAGGCCTGGCATACAACCCCCCCCCCCACCCCACACTGCTCTATTACCACACATGCATAGAAAATGACATACGATTATATACACTCGATCAGCCTACTGAGCCTACTTATATACATGCACACACACATACACATACGTTCTACATACTACAGTGGCCTGTACGAAGCGGCTGAGACTCTTGGCCTTTTCTTCAGTCGATGCAGTGGACAACATTTTCATCGCCCACCAGATGAAAACCCCACACTTATCATGCGATACTTATAATACACACATGGGTATGTGTGTGTACTATACACTACAGGCACTCAATTGAACTCACAACTTGGCATTTGGATACATTCGTAAACAACTAGAAGCCACTCCTGTCATACTCCTACCACACACACGCGCATGTGTAGGTACTATACACTACAAGCACTCAATTAAACGTACGACCCTGCATATGAATACGTTCATGTACAAGTTGCTTACCGCAGCGGCCTCTAGGAAACTGCTGATACTCTCCTCTTTCTCGTCAGCCGAGAGAGTGTCTTCATCTAGGATAGTTCGAATGTAGTCCACAAACTCCTCATCGCCCAGGCCCACCGAGTCTAAATACGTCAGCAACCAGCTCTCAAATTCTCCCATTATGATACATAAACCGAAGTCGTACTGGTCATATGTGGTGTGTGTGTTTATATATAGTCGTGTGTTGTGTGGTCGTATATAGTCGATATAACCGTTCACATAGGAACTATAACCGTTGCTTTGTGATAAATAATGTATGCACCGCTTTCATACTATTTAGGCCGGATTTTTTTTACACTCTGTCGAGTAAAAAAACAATAAATGTTAAAAAAAACCGGATGTAGTAACAGACATCATCACTGAAGTGACCTTATCTTTCCCGATCGGAATTCACGTGGTATAATTCGCCGGTAGTATATTGACTTTAGCGTATTTGTTGGCTATAGAGTCTATATATTTACACTAGTTGAGTACGTATGTATATTCACGCGTGTATACATATATATCTACTGGCTCGCAATAGTCACCTCATATAGTTGTCGTCTGTAAGTAGCAATTCGTAAGAGTATCACATTTTGACTCTGATGTTCCATTTTAATAGATATTTCTGAAAGCTAGTTATGTCCACAAAAAAGGAGCACCTAAGCGAGGACGTTTGCACTTCATGGCAAACCTTATGAATAAGTAGACTTAGACGTTGAAGTACTGATAGTTCATCGGTATATCTAAGCAACTAGACCCACAGACACACACAGACACACACAGACACACACACAGACACACACACACACACAC